TTTTTGTAATATAAAAATATATAAAAATGGCAATTTTATCAAATGTGTTCAATACAACAGTCGGCTGGTTGAAATGACACATGAGCGTGAGTGCTGCTCAGGATAGCGTGGAAACAAACACGCTGCCCAAGTGATGTTTGGGGTAAACTGTTAAGTGGTTAAAGCAACACCTCGATGTGCATTTAAAAGCGAGCCTTTGCTGGCACATGTGTGGGTCCTCATCTCATCCAATCTCAGGGATGCAGTCCTGCCTCCCTGGCCTCAGGCTGGCCCCCAGGAGGTGGCTCGCTGGGACACTTATGGGATCCTCAGGACCCTCCCACTCTGAACTCTGGAGGGCAGCCCAGGTCCAAGGTCTGGGACACTGACACAGGGCTCTCTGGCCACTCCTCAAATGAGGGTGCAAGGGTGTGGGGGCAGAGGCCATATCAAGGGGGAAAGGCAGGGTCTGCAGCTAGGGAGGTGCTGGTGGGCTAGAGACACCAGGGCTCCCTGGGCTCCAGATGCCACCCCTACCTAGGGCCCACTTCCTTCCCTGGAGGGCCGGCTCTCTTGGGCACTGCAATCTGTCCTCCCTGAACTAGGCAAGGATACTGACAGGCAAAAGAGCAGGAGAGATCTTGGGGGCCAGTAGCTTGAGGCCTGCATACATCCCGCTCCAGAGCAGAGGCCCTTGGTGGGAATCAGAGTGCACCCAGAGGCCCAGAAGGGCTTCCGGACACCCACCCACTTCCCTGTCCCTGCATGGAACCCGCAGAGACCAGTCCAGGAAGACGCTCCTGTCCCCTGCAAGGGTCACGCCACCTGTTCACACAGAGATGGGGCAGCTCTACAGGCCCCTTGGCAAAAGCCAGAGGAAGTGAGAGCCCAACGGAAAGTGAACCGTTCCTCCCCTTGCAGAGGGGTGGCAATGCTGCAGGCAGAGTGCCCCTGTCACATGAGGCCCTTGCAGGCCTGCACTCTGGGCCTGGACAGGGGAAGGGCTTTGACCACCTGCTCAGCCCAGCCAGGTGGCACAGGCTCTGGTGCCTTGATCAGGGCCATCCCAGGTGGCAACAGCAGAGGGGCCAGTGGGAGGACCACAAGGGGCACCTGGCTCTCCACCACCTGCACATCAGTTCCCCAGTGCTGGGACCAGGCCAGGCACAGCTGCCGGGTGCTCAGAAACCTCCCACCCTGCTCTGCCCGGCACCCCCAGCCTGAGAGGCACACAGCTTTGGGTTAGCCCCAGTCCCAGTTCCACAGCACCCTGCCCTGGATGCCTGGCCCAGGGGTCCCTGCCGGCTCTGTGCTGTGGCTGTCCTCACAGTGGCTGATTGGTTCCCTCATGGTAAGGGGCTCTGCCAGGGAGAGCCGGGACCAGCAGGAGCCAGGAGGACACCCCATGGAGGTCCAGGACAGTGTCCCCCTAACAGCGTGTGAGGAGACTGTCAGCTGAAGGGTCCCATGGAGGGCTGAGGGCAGAGGAAAGGAGGGGATGAGCTGCGGACTCTGGCCTGGTTCAGCCCACAAGGACTCGGCCTTGCCCACCCCCTGCACTCCCCGAGGGCAGCTCTGCCCATCCGTTCCCTCAGGCACACCCTCTAAGGGCTCAGCCCTATGTGTTCCTTGAGGCAGACTCCTCCTGGGGTCCAGCGGCTCTCCACAACCCAGAGTCACTGGTGGCAATGGAGCCTGGCTGCCATCCACACCCTGCTGGGCTGGGGAGATGTCTCCACCTTGCCTGTTAACCCTGCCGGACATCCTGGTAATCTCCAGCCTCGCACTTCCACACCCTCCTGAGCCCTGTGGGAAGTTGGACCCCATCTCGGTCCTCGTGTTGGGGACACACTGAGGGCAGAGCCTGGGCCCCAGCAGCAATGGCCACACACTGCCCCACCACAGGATACAGCTTCCCAGCCCCCACTCCTAGCTGAATTGCTAGCGAGGCTGCCTCACACCAGCCAGGGCTTCTCGGTCCTGTCCTCATCCTCATGCCTCTGTCTTCTTCTCAGCCCGCCCGGGCCCTAGAACATCTTGCCGGGGGCCTGGACAGAGATACTGGGCACAATCATGCAGCCCAGGCCTGGCGTGTTGGGCCCAGGTCCAGCAGCCCAGCAGAACCAATGGAGGCCCGCTGTGCCCGGCGCTCTGCACTCACCTAGGAAGCCTGCAGGCTGCCAGCCCCTGATCTCAGCCAGCTGGCAGAGTCCCAGTGTATTCCTCTTGCCTCTTGTCTGAGCAGCCCTGGAGGGAAGAAGGAGCCCCAGGCCACGGACCAAGCCACCTGAGACGCTCCTGAGGGTGGGAAGCAAGGCCACAAGCTGTCAGAGTCCATGCCCCGGGCCTGGGCCACCACACCCCTGGTGCTCCCTTGGGGACGGGCCCAGGTTGCAAGCCTCAGCTGGCCTTACCCGGGCTGTCCATCGTCAGAGCTGCACACCCTCCCTGGAGACCTGCAGACAGGTTTCAGGAAGTCACAGGGTCCCCATGCAGCGCCTGAAACTCCCCTAACCGCAAGCCTGGGTGGGGTGATACCTCCAGTGACGACAACAGGCTCCTCACTTTCCTGGGGGCAGATGGCAGGAAATGGCTCCAGACCTGTGCTCCCTGCTGTGACACTACCCCAGCAAGGCCTGGCCTTCACCAGGGAGTGGAGCTGAGGCCAAGGAGCAATGGCCACACACTGCCCCATGTGCCCACACTGTACCATGCCTGCCCCATGTGACCCTGTCAGACAAGGGGACAACAGGACAGCCCAGGAGGGGCTCCAGGGAGATGGATCAGGTTCTTCCTCAGTGTGGGCCCCGAATCGGGTCTGCCCTGGCAGGCACCAGTCATGAACACCCACCTAGAGGGTGCCCGGCCACGACCCTGCCCTCCTGCTGCCCCTTCCTCCAGGGCCCTGGACCCTCTCCCAGCTCCTTTGTTCCAGAACCAAGCCCAGGCTGGCCCAAGGTCCCTGCTGGTGGGTGTGTCCGTACCAGGCCACAGAGGGCTGGTGGGTGGCTGGTTTAGGGTGCTCAGCACAGACACAGGCACTGAGGTGCTGCCTGGCGCTTGTGAGTTACTTCCTGTGGCTTGCTAAGCCCTGGGGCAGAACATCTTGGATCCAAACACGTGGCCCAGTTTCCCTGGCAGATGCCAGCTGACAGCAGGTGTACTGGCCGCCTCATGTGACCACCTGTGCCTAAAGGCTGGCTCTGGGTTTCTGGGCACAAAACTTTCCTTGACACCCCAAAGTGTCCGGCCCAGTTCTGCTCTTCCAGCAGCTGAGGCAGGGCTGGCCCAGGGGCAGAGGCTGGGCCCACAACATCTCCAGGACCCCCTTGTAGCCAGCACCACGTAGGAACATCACGGGCCCTAATCCAGACAGCTGTGGCCGGGTGTGGCCTGGCCATGTGGCTGGAGGCCCTGTCTGCTCTCCATCCCGCCCTGAGCAGCAATCTCTAGGGTCTGTGTGGATGGAGGCAGAGTCCCTGGAAAGCTGGCTTACAGGGCTCAGCCACCTGCCAACACCAGCCGGGGTCAGGGCCTCGGGGGCCTGGGTGCACCACATCCACCACTGACCACTGACAGCCACCCCCCTGCCCGTGCCGCCCCTCAGCACGCTTGTTCAGGCTGCGGCACAGCCGGCATTGGCTGTGACTGGGCAGCCTGCTGGGGATGCTGGACCGTCCACCACCTCTGCAGGCCACAAAGTGGCAAGCTGCAGTGACCCCATCCTCCATGCCCACCAGCCCTGGCTTGGCAGCAAGGGGTTCCCCTGCAGCTGGGCAGGTCCCTCTTCCTCTGAGCCACGCCGATTCGTCTCTTCTCTCTAAGGACTCGAAGACTTTTATTTCATTGTGTCCAAATTGACCATCACAAAGATCTCCATTTCTAAGGGAGCAGGTCATGGATTTAACACTGTCACTGGCTGTGTGGCCATCGTGCCACCATCTTCAGGACCTTGTCCCCACTTGAAACGGGAGCTCCTCACCCACTAGCCCCGCCTCCACGTAGCCACACCAGCCTGCTCTCTGGTTCTACAGATCGGGCTGTTCTAGACTTTGTTACCAGAGCATCACACGCTATTTGTCCTTCTGTCCGCTCGTTTCACTGAGCATAGTGGCCTCTGATCTGACTACACTGCAGCAGGCAGCAGGATTTCCTCCTTTTGGGGGCTACACGGTGTTCCACTGTGCGGGGGGACCACTTGCTTGTGCGTCATCCCAGGTGGACACTCGTGTGGCCACCACTTCTTGGCTACTGTGAGCATGGAGGTCGTGGATTTTGCGTCCTCGGTGTGCTCTGCCAGTCATCATTCTTGACAACAGTCAAATTGTCCCAAATCGGGTGAGTTGCCCACGTGCCCCACGCAGATGACAGCATGGTTTGTCTCCCTGGTCCTGCACATGGTGAGTGACAAGTGCCTGGCCACTCGTCGGTCGAGCCCGTCTGTGACCACGACACCCGGCTGGTGGTGACTTCCTCTCAGCCCAGCCCTGCCACCATCCCGCCCCTGGGGAGGCCCTGTCCTCCTGTTTCCCACTCTTCACAATGCCACATGGGGACGCAAAGGGGAAGGCCGGGATTCTGGGGATTTCCACGGGGTGACTGTCACACGTCAGAGGGCACAAGGTCCCCAGGTTCCAGCCAGAGTTGTTTTGGAGACAGAGGCAGGGAAGAAAAGGGCTTTCAAGACGGATCAGTCCCATAAGTCCTCTGCCCGGGACACACAGGGGGCTCGTCCTGGACTGCCTGAGTTCGCGCGTTACAGAGAGTCCCCGAGGCTGGGACCGATGCTGCAAACAGACCCCAGACAGCCTGGCCTCACCTCCACAGCCTGGGCTCTGCTGCCCATCTGTGAGTAGGGGCCCCGGGGGCCCTCAGAGCTGCAACCCTAGCCCCCCACCCAATAGCCCCTCCATCCCCAGTGCTGTCCCTGGCCACCCCTGCTGGGAGTCCCCACACACCCGGCCTGGCCTCTCCCCTTGGCGTGGGGGTCACCAAGTACCCAAGCACTTGCTGTGTCCAGGGCCAGCCAGGGGCCCAGGTTCGCCCACCCAATGACCCCGCCCTCTGAGCACCCCAGCCCCGATGCCTGAAATCTCGGACCTCCTGCACCAGCCCCAAAGCCTGAAGCTCCAGTGCGGCCCAGGCTCTGTGCCCACTCTCAGCAGCTTTTAGGGACTGAATTTTCTGTTTGTTCTTTCTCTCGTTGTTTCTTTCTTTCTTTCTTTCTTTCTTTCTTTCTTTCTTTCTTTCTTTCTTTCTTTCTTTTCTTTCTTTCTTTTCTTTCTTTCTTTCTGAGGTACTGAGGACCGAACCCAGGGCCCTCACACTGAGCTGCATCCCCAGCCCTTTTTTATTTTTCTTTTGAGATGGGGGTCTTCCTAAGTCACTAAGTTGCCGAAGCTGGGGTTACACTTGTGATCCTCCTGCCTCAGCCTCCCAGAGTGCTGGGATTGTGGGTGTGGGCCACCATGCCCCACAGGAACTATTTGTTTTTATCTTCAGGGCCCCTTGAGACAGGAAGAACCCCAGAGACTAGGGCCGCCCCAGGCCTCAGGGCGGGGGCAGGGACAGGGACAGTAGGTCTGTCTGTCCCCAGGGCTGTGTTGATGAGTCAGCCTTGGACCACAGGGAAAAGCAGAAGTGCCGCCGGGAGGGGTCCCACTCTGCCTGCCGTGTAGGCCGCACCCCAGCACAGAACAGAGAGCGGGGAGGCTTGGGCCACGCGCCCCGTTTCAGCCCCAGAAAGCTTCAAGTGGTTTTGTGTGTGCTGCCTCAAGGCCTGTCAAAGGCCCGCAGCAGGCTGGAAGTTAGACATTGGACTCTTCCAAACTAGGGCACGAGTGTGCACACCTGCAATCCCAGCACTCTGGGAGGCTGAGGCAGGCGGATCACAAGATCAAGCCCAGTGACTTATCGAGACTCTGTCCCAAATTTAAAATATAAAAATGGCTGGGGATGTAGCTCAGTGTGAAGGCCCTGGGATCAATCCCCAGCACCACAAAATGGGTTTTTTCCTCCCGGAGGTCTGAGTGGGCAAGCCTTCTCCCCAAGCTGGTCCCTCCTGCCCTGGGGCCCGGAGGCCGCCCCCACCCTCACCTGACAGCACAGGTGCCTTGAGGACCTGACCCAGGGGAGGTGGGAGGGTGTTGCTGGCATCTAGTGGGTCTCGAGTGCACAGGGTGGCCCTGCCACCCCCAGGGCACCACCCCACGTCCACGTGCCGCACGTGGAGCCTGACAGCTGGGCAGCTGCTACACTGCGCCTGGGTGAGGATCCCCTGCTGGCCCCACAGGCCCAGCCTGGGCTTCCCAGCAGTGGGCCCTACGCTGGCAGCATGGCCAGGGCAGCGAGAGGTGCGGAGTGCAGGGCAGGCCCAGGACAGAGTGCACGCCCCAGCCCTCCCAATCTGCGGTCAAAAGCAGAAGTGATGTGGGGGGGGGGGTCTGAGAGGTGCTGCCAGGCTCCTCGCCTACGTCATCTGGCCCTTGACACGGCCCCAGGCACCGTGAGACGACACTGCCCACGTGGAAAAGCTCCCACTGACTCTGGAGCCCCACACTCACCTGGTCCATCCACTTCCCCCTCAGGCTGTTGGGATGCAGCCACCTCAGATCCTGGAGCTTGAGGAGCAACCGAGATCGGGGCCTCAGGCTGCTGTCCTAGGGGTCCCCTCTCTTGTCACCAGCTGGGGAAGACCCGGGAGACAGCCCTCAGCAGCGGCCCCTGAGCAGGCTGTGACATGAGGGAGATGTGCCCTGGGGGAACCCGGTCCAAGGAGGGACCTTCAGGTCTGCAGGCACAGGAAAGACCACGAGGCCATGTGCCGGCCACACCCCATCCCGGAGAGGCAGGGAATGAGAGGGCAGGAGCTGATCCCCGCCCGGAACAGGACTGAAAGGGGCACTCCTCCTACCCAAAGCAATGACCCTGCGGTAGTGGCCACTTCCGGTCTGCACCCAGACTCACACAGGAGGCTTCCTTCAGGTAGAAGGTCAGCCCCAGGCCCTGTCACACACTCCACCCACTGCCTCCCTGCAGCACCCGCTGCTTCCTCCCCTCCACAGGATCACACCTGCTCCTCTGCACACGCATACACAAGCACAGGCAGGCACAGGTATGCACGTGCACACACTCACAGACATGCCCAAACTTGCTCACTGCAGGCACCTGGGGGTGCAGGTCGTGCTCCTCCTGGACTCTGGGCAGCCCTGCTGCCCTGTGCCCTGGGCTGGTCCCTCTGGACCAGGGGGTGGGGGCTCCTCCAAGCTGCCGCTCTCCTGTTGAAACTCCCAGTCCTTGGGCTAGGGTTAGGGCAGCACTGACCTCTGCCCTTCTCGAAGACTTCAGCTGCAAAACGGGTCCTTCCGGCCCCACGCTTCTGCTTGGGAAGAGTGAGGTTTTATTCAGTCAGTTTGGTCATTATAGGACTATCAGATCTGTTTATTTTTTCTGGCCACTACATTTTGCTGGTAATTAGTCTGTTATATTTACATTTTCAAAAACGTGGACATACAGTGGGACAGCTGCACAGAGTCATGCATCCACCACCAGTCAGGACACAGCAGTCCCATCGTCCAAAATACCCTCAGGTCTTCTTCGGGGCGAGTTCTGATCTCCCCCTTCTCCGAAGCTTTGCCTGCTCCTGAGCGCACAAGGATGGAATTGTGCACTTAGCAGCCTGATGAATCCAACTTCTTCACAAAGAAAGCAGCATGTGAGATCTTTCTGGGGGTAGAAACTGGAAGCTCATTCCTGCCGCTACTGAGTAGTATTCCATCTCAGGGATGGGTGGTGGTTCTTCATCTACTTGCCCATCGAAGAGTACCAGGTGTGTTTCCAGCGTGGTGATTATTAAAAAGCTGCTGTCAGGATCCATGTCTGTGCAGTATGGGGAGCACGGGCTGAGAATCAGCCAGAGTCTTGCATGGGGCTGTGATGTTTTTGTTCTCGATGGGGCCCCTTTGTCAGAATACAGTGTGGTTGTTTCATTGGATTATTTTTTAGCCGTTCTAGGGGATGTGCAATAGTACTGCGCTGCGGTTTTATTATGCATTTGCTGAATGACAAATGGCGCTGAACTGTCTCTTCATGGTATTGTCTGTTCTTCTGGTGTGCTTTCTTCAGATCATTAGCCCATTTTTAAATTGGATTATTTACTTCTTTACTGCTGAGTTCTGAGAGCTGCTTATGTATTTCGAATGCCAGCCCTTTATCTGTTAGGCGGTGTGGAGCCCTTTCCTCCGATCTGACTTCCTACCTTTTAAATCTGCAATTATCACACTCACCTATGGCACCTTTGTTTTCTAGTTCATTAACATTTATCTTCATCTTATCTGTTTTTCAACTTTGTTGAGACTTATCTCGTTTTTTAACCCTAACTTACTTTTTTTTTTTTATACTTTTTTTTTTTGGTACTGGGGATCAAACTTGGGTCCTTCTTCTTTGAGGCAGGCGGCAGAACCACTGAGCTAAATCTCTGGCCCCCTTTTTAATTTTTAAAATTGTGGTATGACTCACAGTTCTGAATTTGGATAAATGCATCCAGTTGTGACTACCAGCACAACCAAGATGTAAAACATTCCCACCATCCCAGAAAGGTTTTTCTATGCCCTTTTGCAGCCAATCACTGCCCACTCTGGCCCATAGCTTCCTGAGATGGGAGGTAGCTCGAAAATCCTGAAGATTGCTTCCTCTTAGCACAGGCATTTGTAGCCATCTCCCAGCACATTATACTTGGCTGGGCCTCAGAAGTCTGGATATGCAGCATTCTTAATGTTGTTCAGCTTGGGGTATTTAAATTTTCTATTACAACTTTTTTTGGGTACTGGGGATCAAACTCAGGTCCTTGGGCTTGCATAGCAAGCAGCAAAACCACTGAGCTAAATCCCCAGCCCTCTATTACAACTCCTTTACCTCATGAGTTCATCGGCAGTCTGTGTTTGTGTGTTACAGTGTGTGACTGTAAAAATTTCATGAACATTCTCACTTTTTGCAACATGCAGCAATGTTAAAGAATCACAAAGGATGGCCTGATACTTTTACCACTCATGTACTACAGTTATCAATTTGTTGTGCTTGTCCTCCACACAGCTCTCCATCCATCCATCCATCCATCTACCTCCTCACCCCTATATCTTCCTGTTCATTCCTCTATCCACGCACCACCCATCTACTCAACCATCCACCCACTCATCCATCCACACACCCACACATCTACCCCTCCACCCATCCGTTCATCCACCCTCCCACCCATTCACTCATCCACCCTTCTATCTTTCCATTCACAGATCCACCCATTATCCATCAATCCATCCTCCATCCATTCATTTACCCATCCATCCATCCATCCATTCCTGTATCTAACCTTCATCCACCCACCCATCCATCTACCCACCTGCTATGGATTGACTGTGCCTCCCCAAAACATGGGTTGGAGACTTGGGACCCAGTGCAGCAGTGCTGGGAGATGGGCATCATCTAAGGTGATTAGACCGTGAGGACTCAGGTTTCATGGACCTTTAAACACTGTTATGGAAAAAAAGAGGTTCCTGGTAAAGGGATGAGTTCAGCCCCTCCTGCCCTGCCTCTTCCGCCCTTCTGTGCTCCACCAGGGATGGCATGCCATGGCAAGAAGGCCTGCACTAAATGCTAGCTAGCACTTTGATCCTGAACTTTCTAGCTTCTAGAACTCAGGGAAACAAATTTCTGTTTTGTATAAGTTATGCAGCTGCCTCGCCATCCAGCCACCCTGTCCCCTCTACTTCCCTGACAAGTCCTATTTTCTCACCGTAGGTCCTGCTTCTTGGCCCTGTGGCCTAGTGAATCGGACAACAGCAGAGAAAGGCTTGATAACCAGGTCTTCGGGGCTGTCATGGACAGCTGCTGTCCACCTGCCACCCTAAGGGCCTACACCAGATTTAGTGGGGTCTCCAACATCCCAGGGCTCAGGGTTCACCCCCAGGTGCCAGGCAAGGGCCACACCTTTCTTTGGACTATGCATGGTGTAGACAGTCCAGCCCTCCACTGCACAGGCTTAGAAGACACCAAAGCCATCCCTGCAGTGTGGGCGAGGAGAGCTTGGGAAAGGCTGAGGGCTGGCCAGGTGGGAGACGGGGCAGGCCACAGGCACCTAAGGAAGTGTGGGCTCGGCCAAGCCGTAAATTCTGTGTTCAGACCCAGCAGTTACTCTAATAGAAAGCCATGGCCTCCGACCTGCCTGCTGCTGCATGCCTAGTGGCCCGGTGCCAAGGCCGGGCGAGGGTGGAAGAAGGGAGTGTGGCCAGTCTGCCAGGCACACTCACTCACCGTGCTACTGGCCGCCTGCTACCTGGGAGCAAACGAGGTCTGTGTTCTCCCCCTGCCCCTCCTCTGGCAAGGGGAAGTCAGGATGAGCTGAGGCTTCTGAGGGACATGGCCCCGCTCCCTCCCTCCTTCCCTCCACACAGCTCCCCAGGCCCACCTTGCTCTGAGCCTCACCTCCCCACCCCTCAGGCCTTGAGCCACCCCCAAAACAGCAGCAGGAAGCTGGAGAGCTACGAGCTCCGGGCCCCAGTGGGCTGAGGTCTGGGGGTGCTGCTGCCCCTGAGGAGGGGCGTCCAGCCCGCCAGCCCCCGCCTCCTTATGCTGGCCCTGGGAGGCAGGCGGTGGCAGCGCCCCCTGCAGGGCACAGCCAGCTTTGAACGCAGTCCCCACTGTGCCTGCCCTGAGCCTCGGGAAACAGCACAAGGTGGGGCTCTGCCTGAGCGTCACCTCCGGCTCCCAGTGGGTGGCGAGTGACCTGGGACATTTCCTTGACTCAGAGGAACCCAGTCCCCTCAGCCAGAGAACCTCCCACACCATGCGCTGGCCACAATGACAGAAGCTCTAGACCACTGCGGGCATTCCTGGGCCACGGGACTTGCCGAGGTTCCTTGCCTCGGTGTCCCTTGTGGGCGGGATGGCAGCCCGAGCCCTGTGACTCGGCAGCCGCCCCCTGCTCTTTGATCCTGATTCTCAGTCACAGGAGCTGCGTCCTGGGCCTCCCTACCCCCAGACTCCTCCTAAACCACCGCCTGGGAGGGCAGCCATCCACCAATCGGCCACCCTGGCCCGAGGTGCAGCTGGTAGGGATGGTCTGCGCATGCTCAGGCGGCTCCACGCGCCCACCGGGCTCTGAAGATAACACTCTGGGAAAGCAGGCTCCTCTCCTGTCCAGACAAGCCCAAACTTCCCAGAAGCCCGTTTCTCTTGGGGACAGTCTGGGAATACTCGCCACTCTCCCGAATGTCCACAGGGGAAACTGAGGCACAGAGGGTCTGAGAAAGTTGTTCAAGGTGGCACAGCCCAGCAGAGGCAGAGAGGCTGCCCTGCCACCTGGTGGCTGTCACCTGCCCTGCACCTCCCGCCAGGCTCCGCGGGCCCCAGGGCTGCTGGGAGCTCTCAGAGTGTCCTTTCCCTCCCACCTTGAGCCCACTCCACTACCAAGGCTCCTCCAGGGCAGTCAGCACCCCATCAGCTCCACCGGGACCCTGCACCCCACGCTTCCCACTGCTCTCCACCATGAGTCTTGCCAGATGCATTCAGGCCTGGAGCCTCAGGTTCCCTGGCAGAGAAGTGGGGTCCTGAACCCTCATGGCCCGTGGTTCTGGATCCCCAGATTCCCTGACCTCCTGGTTGCTCCGTCTAGAGCCTCCCTGCCTGCCTTTGGGTCTGGAGCTTCTGCTGCTCTCCCTTCTCGACCCTCTTCCGCCCCACCTCCCCTCCGCCCCCTGCACTTGAGGTGCCCTCCCCCAACCGGCTTGCCCCACCCCTGCCCCAGTCCTCACCCCGCTACCTGTCACTCAGCAGAAGCCCTTGGTCACAAGTGGCTTCACTTTTGCATCTTATTTGCACAATAACCCTGGAAGGCAGGTCCTCTTCTTGATCCCATTTTGCAGATGCAAACATGGAGGCACCAGGAGATTTGCACCAAGGCTCCAGCCACCACCTGCTCACTCCTTCCCACCCCGGGGACCGCCATCTCCCGAAGGCAGCGCTGGGATTGATAGCAATTCTGGACACAGCTGTCACCCAGGGCAAAGGCTTCCCTCTGGATGAACCCCTCACTGCTCCCCAGCCCCTCCTGGGAGCGCAGGCTGCTGGTGGGGGGGACAGACAGCCCAGACCCTCACTCCCAGGATCTGGCTCCGTGAGCCTGGTACCTGGCTCTGTCTGCACCCAGGACCTCACCCAACCTCATCCCACAGCCACCCAAGAAAGCTGCAGGGCAGGCTCCTGCCTCAGGGCCCTGGCCCCAACCCTAGCTGCCTTGGACACATCACCACACTGCCTGGCCTCAGTTTCCCCATCTCTTTAATTATTTCTATTTCTTCCACCTCGAGATGGCTATATCTGGAAAGCAGATTGTAACCACAACTGCTGGAAAGGAACTTGAGTCCCAGAGGACCCAACCCAAGAGCCACCCCTCCCAGCCTTACCTCACATTTCTTCCTGATGGTTCCATTATGACATCCTAGGCTTGAAGGTATGGGAACAGGGTGCCCGTGGGAAGGGTGTGCAGCTGTGCTTGTGCCATGCGCATGTGTCTGACTGCAGGAGCATGCTGTGCGCACAGTCTTCTGCCCAGGGCACGCCAGTCCCTGCTTCTGGTTTGTCAGCCCCGTCCCCTTCCTGGTCAGCCCCCATCCAGGGCTCCAGAGAGTGCGAGGCCCAGCTCCTGAGAGAGCAGGCCTGTGCTTGAGAGCTGATAGCAACCCTAACTCACCCTCCAGGCCACGGTCACCAGCTCTGTGGCTACAGAGGCCAGGAAGGGGCAGCTCTGTGGCTACAGAGCCCAGGAAGGGGACTGGCTCATCCCAGTGCAGACCCTGAGCAGAAGGTTGGATCCCAGCCAGGGTGAAGCCTCCACACCTGGCTCTGGGAAGCCTGCAGCGGGTTTGTCAAAGTGATTGAGCGATGCTGGGGCAGTGTTGGCCCCCAAGCTCAGGAGCGAACAGGGAGGCTCTGCTTCCCCAGTGCAGTCACTGGGGGAGCAGATGGTCCCTCCCTCCCTCTCTGGAGCAATGGGGAGGCCTGGGGAAGAGGGGTCGTCCACCATGGCTCCTCCAGCACCACCACTAGGGACACGGTCCCTCAGCCCTGCTGCCTTCCCGAGCTCTGGACCACAGCCTCCCTGAAGACAGCCTTCCGTGCAGCTCCACAGCCTGCTGCCCTGGCCTGGGCCCCTCACAGCACCCTCTGCCTGCCCCTGGTCCATGCTCCCTGGGGTAGGCAGTCCTGCCCCTCAGCACCTTGTGCCCACCAGGGGGCGATAGGCTCCAAGTGTGAGGCCAGGGTGCACCAGCCCAGGAGCGTGAGGGGGTGCAGACAGAAGAGGGGCTGCCCCTGGGCTCTGTGCCTCAGCCTGGCTGTCACTGTGAGCACAGTCCCCGCTGAGGACCAGGTCTGAAGAGGACTTGCCGCCCTCCTGGTGTTCCGGAGTAGAAAGTCAGTCTCCAGGATCCCACCACCCCACCCCACCCCACTCCCAAACCTGCTGTGCAGCCTCTAGCTTCCTGCAAAATCATTTGAACTCTGTGGGCCTCAGTTTCACCACCTGCAAAGTGGGGGTAGGAAGGCATCCTTGCTGTGGCTGGGCAGGGCAGAGCGCTGGGCTTGCACTCCGCTTGGTGCCTGGGGGCGGTCTCTGGTCCTTGGGAACCAGGTCCACGTGCACCAGCACAGGAGACCTCAAGGCTGCCAGGGGAAGGGGTACACAGGGCCCTCAGACCTGCTCCATCCAGCAGAGGTCAGCCCTCCCAGGCAAGTGCTGGGCTATTGGGGTGGGGCTGCCTTCCTGCCAGCTTGACTCAGGCTGTGTGTGTGCGCGAGCTCTTGAGTGTGCCAGGATCCCTGCTCCATGCAGCCCCAACACCCCTCCCTCTGTGGCCCCTGCCAGCCCCAGAAGGGGGCAGTGGCCGCCCGCTCAAGAGTGTCCAGGAGTTTGAACACCCACCGCTTTGGGCTGCAAGGCACAAGTCCCAAGCCCTGTGGCCCACCCCCTAGGGACTTGGCCATGAGGCCCCTGGGCATCAGAGGGACAGAGGCAGCCAGGCTGGGCGCCTCAACGAGGTGGTTCCCATGCTCAGAGCGCCAGTCTTGGCACCCCAGCCCTGCCCCACCCTTGCCCTGTGGGGACTGGGGCACCCGGAATGTGGCTGTGCATTCTGGCCCCCCAGGCTATGGATTCCTGTCTCAATGGGTGAGGGCGGAGGTGGCTTTCTGCCCTTTGATCCTGCCAACTCCAGGGAGGGGGCCTCACCCAGTCCCTGCCAGCCAGTCTCAGGGGCAGTGCAGCCCAGGGGAGCTGGGGGCCCTGGGGAGGTGTGGCCATGAGCTCATGACCCCCTGAGCCTGCAGCTGTGCAGTCCTGGCACTGTGAAGGTGCTGGGCTCCAGGGAGGGTCTCAGCAGGCATCCTGGAGCCCTGGCCTCACCACTGCCAGCAAAGGAGGTGCAGAGGTTGTGCCCCCCAGCCTCCCTGAGCTGGGTGAGGGTGCCCACACGAATGGTGCCCATCCAGTCACCACTGAACACCCCCACCTTGGCATCAGGGTCGAGCAGGAAGAGGGCCACCCTCTGTGCCTGGGACAGGGTGAGGACCCTCCTCGGGGTCTCCTGGGCTCTGCAACCTCGGACAGCTCCCCTGCCTCAGTTGCTTCGTTTGCCAAGTGGCAATGGCAGTGATTAGCGTCCCGCCACAGACCTCGGTGGCTAGAGTGGCGTGAGACAGCCACGTGGCCCAAGATCGGTGAAGGGGGTTGATCTGGGCTCTGTCGGGCGCCTGGCTTCCAGGAGCCCAAAGGCCGTGTCCCCGGAGGGCCCTCCCCGGCACCCCCGTGGTCAGCCTGGACTCCCGACCTGTGCCTGGCCCAGTCTAGGGATGGCCCGCCCCAGTGGGGCATCTTCTCCGGGGACCGAGGAGAGGGAGGGCCCCCTGGGTCCTGGCGCTCGCTCGGGGTGGCCGAGGACGCGTCCTGGAGAAAGAGGCCGAGAGGGTTTCAAGCGGAGCCTGAGCCGAGCGCGGAGCCGGAAGCGCGCGCGAGGTCCCTGAGCCCCAGTCGAGCCCGAAGGCGCCTGCGCCGTTAGGGCGCCCTCAAGGAAAGCGAGAAGGCCCGACCCCGACCCCAGCCGGTGCACCCTGCCTCGCTCTCCGCTCACCACCCCTAGAGCGCTCCGGACTCGTGGTGGGGCTCGTGCCTGGCGGGGCGGGGGAGGCGGTGCCGAGGTAGCACTGGAGAGGCGGGGGCTCCTCCGGAAGGAAGTCGCAGCCGGGAGCCCTCCCAGTCTTGGCCTGCGCAGCCCCGGCTCGTTCCCCAGGTGTGGGGCATCCCCGGCCAGGTGGGTCTGGCGGGGCTTCCCAGCCGGCTCGGAGAGGGGCGAGGCGAGGAGTGGAGGAGGCGGCCCCTGTGCCCGGGTGCGGAGGGCCCGGGAGGCTTTGGAGAGAAGCCTGTGTCCCTCACCGGTCTGCGATGCATCCTCCAGGCCTGCAGTCATTCAACAAACACCCACGAGGGGCGTGCCCTGCTATGAGCTTAGGCAAACAAGAAGCCTGTCCTCCCTGCTCTCCCTGGGCCGCCGCAGTTCCACAAACTCAGCCCAGCCGCCCCGTCGTGGACCCTCTGACCCCAGGTCCAGGTCAGAGGCCAACTCTGCCCAGGAACAGACGGAGGCGGGGTCGGGAATGCGGGCCTAGGTGGGCAGGTGCAGGAGCGAAGGCCGGAAGTGTGCGCGGGGAGCGGTGTCTGGGCCAAGTCTTGAAAGGAACAGGACGGCATTCCAGGCAGAGGACGGAAGGAGCAAAGGGCCAGGGAGAACCGCCCGCGGCAGCCCAGGAGCAGGGGACGTTGGGGGAGGGGAGCCTTGAGGCTTCTGGGAGAGCGGGGACGGGGGTCTGCAGAATGACCACCTTCAGGTTGGACCTGCGTTCCTGTGGCCCCAGGTTCTGGCTGGGCCCATTCTGTAGAGAGCCATCCCAAACCCGCTCCGCTAAGCTGGGAGTGGTCACCACACTGGTGTGCCACTCTGGGTTATGTGACTGACTTTTAGAGTGATGCTTGTGTTGTTAATGTGAGTGTCTGGAAACATGAGTGTGAACATCGGCCGGAAGTACGTTGACCTTTTATGCTTGTGTTAAATTCACTTTGAGCTCTGGGAGGGTCACCCCTCTGCTGGGCACAGGATTTCCGTGGTTCCAGCCCCTTGAACCCATGCTCACATAAAGATGCCTTTGCCCCTAAGCCCTGGTCTGGAGCACTCAGCCTGCCAACTGCCCTCTCTGTGCAGTGTGGACACCTCACTGCCGTGCACCAGTGGGGAAGGGCTGTGGCCTCACATCCTCACTGCTGGAAGCTTCTGCAGGGTGCCAACCACCAGGCTTTCTGCAGTGAACTCTGGGCCTCTCCAGAGCCAGCACGCTGCCAGCAAAGGCCATCTGCCTCGCCCACGGCCATGGCCAGTGTCCGAAGTCTGCACTCAGAGCCACTTGCCCCTGCATGGCCGACAGCTGTTCTCTTCTTATGGCCCTTTTGGTTTCTCTGTCACTCCTGTCCCCTTGCTATGCAAGAAGCCTGGTGACGCTCAGCCACCTTCCAGTGGCTCCAGACGGGCATCGAAACCCAGTCCACCTGCAGGCCGGTGGGAGGAGGCACAGGTATGAATGTGGCTCTGGCCTCACTGCTGGTGCCTGACCTCTCCTGAATGCCCGGGATGAATGAGCCCCTTTTCCAGAGCAGCACGAGGTGTGCCAGCAGCTGGCAGACCCAGGGGAGCTGGAGACAGAAGCCCCTGGCTTCTTGGCCTGCACTGGGCCTGGGCCACCAGGCTGACCCAGTGTGGCACGGACAGCATCCGCCCTCGGGGTCCTCCTCACTCTGCCACCACGTGTGCTTCTCCCCGCATGCTCTTCTCCTCTTGGGCCCCTGCTCTGCTGGGCCCAGGCTCTCACTCCCCCATTCTCAGCCCTGAGCACTGGTTGGGGTCTCCAGCTGCCTCTAGACCCTTCCTGGCTGTACCCCAATCCCCATCTTTCCACAGCCCTCTCCACTAGCAGCCTTCTCCCCGGAGCTCAGGTCAGGAGCCATTCCTCTTGCCCCGTCCTGTCAGCCTCTCAGACAAGTGACCCCCACCCTGTCCTCACTTGTTCCCCTGCCCTCCCCACCACACTCCAGGTCCTACTTCACCTTCATCCCACCTGCTCCTCCTCTGCCTCAGAGCCCGCCAAAGCACAGCCACCACAGATCAGACTGCAACTCCGCTGTGGCACAGCCTCCCTGGGCACTTCATCACTCGTCCTGCCCTTGCTCCTGCCCCTCGGGGGTCATCCCACACTGGAATAAAAGGTTTCCACTTCCACACATCCTGTCTCTCACCTGGCTGCCCCTCTGCCAAGTGTCCTGAACGCTTCCAGCATGTGCCCCTGGCCCCCTGCCTCCTCTCTTCCCTGAGCCTAGCTTGCTCCAGGCTCCTTGCTCCAAACCCAAGTGCAGACCAGGCCCTGTGTCTTCCAACCACAGCAGGAACTGCTCTTAGCAAAGACCTGCAGAGCAGAACCGCAGCCGGCCCTGGCCTGCACTGGAATAGCACCCAGACAAATTGAGCAACTGGCATGGTGTCCCACGGGCCCAGGCAGCTGAGGGGCAGGGGGCCCTTAGACCTCTCCCCTCCAAGGCCCCTTAAAGATCAATCACCCCTTCCCCTCCTGGCTCAGGGAGGGACTGAGTCTTTATCCCTAGCCCTCACAGTATCTCACACACACACACACACACACACACACACACACACACACACACAGAATAACTCTGCTGAGCCAGGTGGCAGGTGTGCCTTGGCATTCCCACCAGAAGGAGGACTGGGAAGTGCTCAGGCAGGAGGCCTGGTCTCCACACAGTGCCCACAGAGGGCTGAGTGGGGACCAGCACAGCCACTGACCAGTGACAGAGCCTGGGGATGGCGGGGCCAGGGTGTCCTGCCCTCTGGACCCCAAGCCCACGAGGGAGCCGGGTCCCAGAGCTCTGTGGTGTGGGGAGGGAGGGCCCCTGCCAGCGGGGTGCTGAGGCCTGCTGGGGTCAGAGGCTGACAGACAGAGGGACTGGGCCCTCACATTCCAAAGGGCTGCGGGCCAGCACCGCTTCCAGGCCCAAGAAGCCGCAGGAATGTGGGCAGCAGAAGGTAGCACGCAGGGCCAAGCGCCCTCGCACCCTGGCCCCCGTCCACATGAAGGAAGATGCCGGCCTCCTGCCTTTGTCAGGGCCTGCCGGGAGGCACTTGTTTTTTCCTACGAAGGGCTTGTAAGCTGGACTTCTCATTATTTTATAATTTTTGTTCTTTTTGAAAACAACACTCTTTCTCATTATATACACAAAATACATGCGATTACACATAAGAGATGTAATCATGTATTACATGTAATGCATCATGTATGCATGTGGCTTAAAGGAATGCTGTTGGCTTATTCATCAGGCGACCTTACTGGTCTCTGTCGATTAATCTGCAGTTCCAGAGTTAGTGACTATGGTGGTCAGAATAGCAAACACTGTCCCCCAGACCCCCTGACTGCACCTTGATTTGTTGAGCTGGCGAGGTCTTGCAGAGCAGTGCAGGCCCTAGGACGTGCTATGCTCGCGTTTCTTGGCTTTCCCAGGCTCCCGATGGTGCTTCTCCCACCCTGGGCACTAATCGAGCCAGGAAAATGCTCTCAGTTCTTATTCTCTGTGCTTCTGTTACCCAGATATGGGTTCAGTGCCATCAAATACCTTGTTCTACATTCATGTAGTGACCATGTTACTTTTCTTCTCCAGCTGGTAAATCGCTGTTAAAATTTCTGATTTGAGTTCACTTGACGTTCCCGAGATGAAGTTGCTGGATTTTAGTTAGCTAACACATCAAGAGCTTTTAAAATTCACCTTCAACAAAACTGTCTTAGCTGGACCCGGTGGCCACACTTATGATCCCAGCAGTCTCGGAGGCTGAGGCAGGAGGGTCACACATCCAAGCACTACCTGGGTAAGTTAATGACTCAGTGAGGCCCTGTCTCAAAATGAAAAGGGAGGACGCCTGGGATG